AGAGAGAGAGAGAGAGAGAGAGAGAGAGAGAGAGACTGTTTTTCATATACATTTTTACGAAGAAAACCCAAAACTAATAGAATTTCAGAAGAAATGAGTGTGAATGAAAGGGAGAAGAGTTGGAATTGCCAAGTAGAGCTAGATGAATCCCTTTTGATAGTCGTAGTGTATGGCCAGACTTGGGAAAATTTGGAGGTGTGCAAGTCAGTAATTTTAGCTAGAATATTGTTCATTGTTTCAATGAAGAGTTCTTAGGGGTATGGTGCTGCCAGATGCTTAGGCTGATTCACTTTAGAAACTTTAAAAATGATGTTAATATAAAACATTAGGGAAAGTACTGTGACATTGGATAAAGGCCCATAGACTTTCATGTTAAAAATTTATGAACTTTTATGAAAAATGATACATGTGGTCCCAAGCACAGATGTTTATATTTTAACTTATTTGTTTTAACTTTAATACATCATAATAAACTGAGCTTCCTCCTCCTCCACCCCTTTTCCTTGATTGTGAATCCTGTTTTATAAACATATACTCTCAGATCTGAAACATGTTTAAGCAGAATTTCTTCATGTTTTCTTGTTATTTAATCTTTTATTTTCTCCAGTTATTCAAAGGATTTGGAGATAATATTGTGTCACTTGGGAGAGGGATGGTAGAGATGCCTTTTGCCTTTTTCAAGAGCTTAGTGAATTATTCATACTTCCAGACTCATCCTTATAAACTTATTGCAAAATCTTTCCAAAATCTCTCTCTCGGAAATAATTATTCTTTAACTGTTTAACTGATTGCACTAGCCTTATTTTCTCTCTTGTTACCCAAATACTAGGGCTGCTTTGCATATGATAAATGCCCAATAAACTTATAGTTGCATGTTATTAAATGTCATTAGAAAGATTGTCATCATACACAGAGTTCATGAAGTAATAGAAAAATTCTGATCTTTTGATGTTTAAGGAACATTTCTTGAATATGGATAAGTGATGAGAACATAGATACATTCTCATGTGTTATTGATAGTTTATGCTCATAAACAGGGTGTAAAAATTTGTAGATAAAAGAGAAAATGGAAATCATAAAAGCACACACTTTAGAAGACAGCAAAGCTAGCAAATAGTCATTGCACACACTGCAATGTATAATTTGTCATTTGCAGAAAGACATGAATAAGGAGCTGCTTGAGTTTAGGAAATATTAAAAATGAACGCACTCACGAGGTACTATTTACTAAAGATTAACATATGTAAAGAAAACTGCAACCCACCTTGTTATACTTCTAAGGTGGTTTGAGCCTTTGGCTAATGAGTCCTTTTGCATTCTTAATCATCTTGGTCTGATGATTTCTGCTATCTTATCTTTGACAGATCTCTTAATTCCAACGCATTACTGGCTTTCCTTGTACCTCTGCTTATATCAGGGAATTAACTTGCCTGGTCCACTCAGTCTCAACAGTCCTGTTCCCAACTTTCATCTTCTGAATGATTTACCCATTGAAAAGAGTATCCTAAGCAAGCACTAGCTTTATAAAATAATGAATATATTCTTCTGTTTAAAAATGAGTCAGGATTTGGCAAGTTGACTGATCCAGAGTCTATGCCTGCAAAGCAGAGTACTGTGCTATCTATTAGAAACCCCTGTTTTTCTTCCTTTACTTAACTTCTCCCCTGCCCAGCTAAATGTTATACTGTTTTCCCATTTGACTTTTCAAATAATCATTCTACCAAAAACAACACTGCATGTTAGTGTTTGAAACTTATGAATAAAATTTGAGATGCAGAAAGGCTGGGTACTACATTAATATTTTTATTTTAAATTACAACATATTTTCTGATTCATATACATGGTTTTTGAAAAAAATTGAAACAAAACCACTTTATTTTATACCTTTCTCTAATTTTTTTCTCATCCAGACTTTGTCCTTGTGTATACGTTTTTCTTTCCCTTTGTCACTGTAGATAAACAGCAGAGTGCTTGTCTGAGGTTGTCATATCAGGGAAAGGTGGAAAGGATACAACTAAGGGAAGCTACTTATATTTAATAACCAAGGCATGTTCATTTGTTTTGGTTTATGTCAGATGCAGATGATTGATTTAATTTTTTAGAATACTATCATTTTTTCTTAGGACTAGAAAATTGTTACAGTTATTTGGAAAAATGTGTTTTAAATTTGCAATGTGCATTATTTTATGCTGGTAGGGAGCTCTTTCAACTAACACGCTTATATTTAAGGCCTTTCCTTCATATAAACATAGCAAATAAGAAATTCCAGGTGAAGAAGCTAAAAACAAACAAAGAAAGAAAATCCCAACCCAAAAAAAAAAAAAAAAAAAAAAAACCCTGGGAGATTTTTGAGGTCCACTTTTTTACTGGCTGGTTTTGTGTCAACTTGAGTCATCAGAGAAGAAGGAGCCTCAGTTGAGGAAATGCTTCCATGAGATCCAGCTGTAAGGCATTGTCTCATTTAGTAATCAGCAGGGGAGGATTCAGCCCATACTGGTTGTGACCACCCTTGAGTTGGTGGTGGTCCTGGGTTGCATAAGAAATCAGAGTAATCAGGCCAGGAGAAGCAATCCAGTAAGCAGCATCCTCCATGACCTCTGCATTAGCTCCTGCCTCCAGGTTCCTGCCCTGTTTAACTTCCTGTCCTGACTTCCTTTGGGATAAGCCCTTTCCACCCCAACTTGCTTTTTGCTCATGGTGTTTGGTTGCAGCAATAGAACCCTAACTAAAATAACTTTGTTTAAGAAATACTTTAAAGGGTGCTAGTCAGGGTGTAGAATAAAATGAAAATAAACTACTTTTTTCTGTAAACTGTTAGAGAGAGAGAGAGAGAGAGAGAGAGAGAGAGAGAGAGAGAGAGAACAAAATCCTGTTAGTGCACAGGAGTAACTAGAGGTGTAAAGAGGTGTAATGCTTAAAATTATAACTAATGGAATAGAGTATTAGAGCAAGGAACTAGAGAGACAGTGGAATTAAAGGCATGGGCAGAAGAGAAAAGAATAAATTAAGAATAAATTAAAATATATGTTTAAAGGCAGAGAATGAATGAAATGGACAGTATTTAAGTGTTTCATTAAGTGATGGATGCTGTTTCCCAATAAATCTGTTTGATTTGAGATTTTTATTTAATATCAAGGTAGAATTTCTAGGTATTTTTGAGTAGGAAACTCTAGGGATGAGTAAAATGATTATAAGTGAAGAGGTTTCTCAATTTCTTAATTTAATAAGCTTTATTTTTAGAGAAGTTTTAGGTTAACAGGAAAATTAAGTAGGAAATAAAGTTCTTTTTTTCTGTTTTTTTTTTTTCAAGACAGGGTTTCTCTGTACAGTCCTGGCTGTCCTGGAACTCACTCTGTAGACCAGGCTGGCCTCAAACTCAGAAATCCGTCTACCTCTGCTTCCCAAGTGCTGGGATTATAGGCCTGTGCCATCACTGCCCAGCTTCCTTCTTTCTCTCTCTCTCTCTCTCTCTCTCTCTCTCTCTCATTCTTTCTTTTTTTTGAAATAAAGTTCTTGTATGTCTCCTGTTCTTGAACACTGTTTCCTGCACTATAGTGTTTTGTACCATTATTTCAACTGATAAGTCCACACTGATAGATCACTATCACCAAAGGTGTGTTGTTTACATAGGCCCTTATCTTTGAGTTGAACATTATACAGGTTTGGAAAAATTAACAATGATTTGCACTCACCATTGTCATACAAAATAGTTTGACTGCCCTACAAATCCTCTTTGCTCAATCTGTTCATCACTTTCCCTTATCTTTAGTAACTTTTGATCCTTCCGCTATTTCTACATTTTCATCTAGTATAAAACACTGTGTACTTGGGATCATATAGTATGTAGTTTCATTTTTTCAGATTCCTTTTCTATATTTAGTGATGTGCATTTATACATCCTATACATCTTTTCAAGATTTGATATGTTATTTCTCTTAAGTGCTGGATAATGAGACCTCACATTGCTGTATCTATTTACAGCCTAAGAAAACACCTTTGTCATCTTTAAGTTCTAGCAATAGTAAATAAAACTATTTTAAACATCAATATTCTATGCCCCGCTCCACTCTCCCCACACTGTAACTTTCCGATTGAATAAATACCAAGGAGTATGGATACAGGAATCCATGTTAAGAATAAGTTTGCTAAAAACTGACAACATCCATAGTAGCTGTACTATTTTTTTTCATTGGAGTAAATGAGAAGCCTGTTCTGCA